AATTAAGTTGAATTCTATATTATATATATTCTAGAATTCTATATATTCTATATGATATGTATCAAAATCCATTCTGAAAAACCTTTTATTTACTTGCTTTTTTCTACGAGCTCGGGGAATCCCTTGTACCGCACCCCGAGTCATGTCATAACATAATGGGTCGATTTGTGTTTGAAGAAGACTATTTTAGTTGACTTTATGACTTTAGCACCTCCTTCTTTGTTTTTATTAGCCAAATTGAATTGGTCCGACTATGTTACTATTGCCATACTAGAGTTCAACGTCCTAAAATGGATCAATTTGATTCAAGCTCAAATAGAATCAAATTGGAATAAATATTAGCATTAAGAAGAGATATTAGCATAAGATAAGTAAGCGGGGAATAGAACGAACTATAAGTGCGGGGAACAATTATGCGAGTCATTATTTTTCTTCCTAGTCTTCAACACAAGAAATCTTCGACCCAAGAAAGGGACTACACCCCTTTCTTGGGTCAAAAAGTCCTAATCTTGGTTTCGGCTTTCCAGATGTATCAGAACTTTTTGTTTATTTATTACGTAGAATAACAAATCAAAAAGAAAACTTATTCAATGAACTTATCCAAAATTGGAATTTTTCTGAGATATTCAAATAAATAGGGTAAGGGTATAGAAAGTATTTCTACAATATCTAATCTACATAAATATATGATATATAATCCAGGAATTTGGAAATTGAGCAATTCCCCCTTGTTATAACTCGGCAAGTACCCATAGATACTATCAAGATCAAGGAAGAAATGTTCTGAATCAATCAATGAAGTTCATTTTTCAAAAGCATCCAAAAAAGAATGGAGTTTTTTGAAACAACCGAACAAGAAATCCGCCCTGTAATTTAGCCAAAAGAAGGACTCCGCTTCTTACGAACCCAACGGGCCCCCTTCCCTCGAATCAGACAAAGAAAGAAGGGAATCCCGTCGAGTTCCTACGCTTTCATGTCGACAACTCAATTCATCCGATTACTATAGGGATGAACCCAATCCGGAATATGAACCATAAAAGAAAATACCTATTAAACCGATCACAAGAATACCTGTTACAGTACCTATTATCCAAAGAGGAATCCTTCCAGTAGTATCGGCCATTTACTCCACTTCCCTCCANTGCTCGAGCTAACAAATCCCAAAAACATAAGTCTCAAACCATTTCAAAAGGTCTAGCATTATTCAAAGTTCACCCATCTTAACATAGTTCGAAAAATGAAAGCAGTAAACAAATGATCCAAGTGCAATAGCAAATAAATAAACATTCAGTTTATACGGAAGCATAGGTTTCAACACATATGACCACCATCTCGCTTGTCCTACGCCACCGCCTCCAGCTCGTCTCATCCTAGCACAAAGGAAGAGAGAAAACAACAAGAAAATAATGGGGGTGAGCAACCAACTAGCTCACCATTATCGCACAGTTATCCCGCATAATTATTTTTAACAGCAAGTACAAAAATGAGTAATAACCCCCAGTAGAGACTGGTACGATTCAATTCAACATTTTGTTCGTTCGGGTTTGATTGTGTCATAACTCTATAATTCGGGATTAGGTTTATCGTTGGATGAACTGCATTGCTGATATTGACCCCAAAAAAAAGACGGTAGGTACAGCTAGGCCGTGAACAGCCAACCATCGTACTGTAAAAACTGGACTTTCGCCATCTAGGGTGCAGCATTCACGCTGCTTCGCAAACAGTATCACAGTAAACAGTATCAAAATCGGTATGCACAGAATTCATAGCCTAAACCCCCTACCCAGCCCTATCGCAAACCTCCTATGTACATACAACAACCTTCCGGATACAACGGCATGACTGTAACTGGAAACATTCCCACCCCCGGGTACAACGGTTCGCAGGATCCTTTCCAGGAGACAGCAGAGATGTTTTTCCCCTTCCGGAT